AATGAAATGATAGTTATTTTGTGAATTTTATGTTTGTAGGAATTTGGTATACGTTTATGTTGAAATAAACGTCCATGGAAATAATTCAAATATTTGATATTAAGTATTTGTAATGCTTGCGGTATGAATTCGTTGGTGACGTGTATAATGTAATAGATGATTTAGAGGTAAAAGTTTTTGGATATTCTATTTATTTTATATGTGGAAATGTTGATATTTGTAAAGGGTAAATACTTTTTCGCGATCATGTAATTTCATATATGTTCTTTTTACCGGGTTCAAAGATTGAGAAAATTGTCATGTATTTTCGTGAAATTTTTTTAATTTATAAGAAAAAAGCAGTGTACATGGATATAGTGAAGAGTGTGCGCAATGCCATTTTTGTGCAATTCTGGGATGTTTTTTTAAGTAAAAATAAGTCGACGTGTACATGGTTTATGTGTATGTGTTATTTTGAAAAATGCGTAAGGAGGATGGTATTGTGCAGTTTTTCTTAATTTTGCAGTGAATATTTGTCATGATTAAGAAGTTTTGTTTGATAAAATTTCTAGCATAAGTGTAATTCGGCTAGTAGAGTGTTGGAAGAAGTGTTCAGGAGATAAAAAGAAAAGAAACATGTCTTTACTTCGTGAAGACAAAATGGCGGCGGGGAAAAAAAATAGAGGGTTGCTGTAGGAGAGTTGGTCGCCAAATTTTCGCCAAGTTACCATAATGTAAAGATCAACCGGAAAAAGCAATGACATATCATCAATCATACATAAAAAAGCAATGTTAATTCCGAGAAAATTTCTTGAATTGAAAGGTGCTGATCAAATAAGCTATCAGAAATTTTACGAAATTGAGAATATAACTGAAACTGTTGTTGTATAACATAAAACAATTACAGATAGAATTTAAAAGGTAAAATTTCTTCAAAAACATAACTATAAAAATATTATCATAAACCATTTAAAAATACTATAAATAATTTAAGGCTAATCTTTACTACACAGTACCCCTTGTTCTTTTCTGAAAAAAATCGGCAAGCTGTATTGGTTGTTCATGAAATCTAGAAGCCTGCTGCGCTTTTTCATATAGACCTGCGTTTTTGGTTCTTACTATTCTTTTCATTTGCTACCAATGGATGAGCGAAATGACAAAAAATTTGGTTAAAGTATATTTACGAGTACCCCTTATCAAAAATTGGAGATTTTTGGCAGTACACATGGATACCAATTTTCACTTAAATAAAAACAGAGAATTGCACAAACTTGGCATTGCGCACTCCCTTGACTTTGTCCATATACACATCGATATATTTTCACTTAAAAAGTCAAAGGAGCACCCAATTCTAGGTACAAGTATATTTGCTAAGCATTCAACTACTCAGGTTACCATAAATGAAACAACTTCGCGATGACATAAAGGATACTCTTCAGTCTACTCTAACCAAAAATTTAATTGAATTTGTTCACCTGGAGGATGGAGAAGATGGTGGTAAGCCTAAACGTATGCACATGAAAAAAGGTATGTTCAAAATTTGACGTTTCATTTATTTATTCATCTCTGTGTGCTACTTTTTTAAAAGGTTTGTTGTTTAATGTTTTTATGTTAGGAAACATGTATTTTTGGTTATTTATTCCTCTCTGTTTGTGTATTTTTGGTTATTGTTCGTCTCTGCGTGTTGTGACAGCAGCGAATTTTTTCTGGTTACCATAATAGTTTTAACTTTGTTTTAGCTTCCTGATTTTGTTTAAGTGAAAATAGATCAATGTGTACATGGACAAAGTTAAGGCAGTGCACAATGCATAGTTTGTGCAATTCTCTGATTTTTTTAAGCGAAAATAGGTTGATGTGTACATGGACAAAGTTAAGGGAGTGCACAATGCCTAGTTTTTGCAATTCTCCAATTTTTTTCTAAGTGAAAATAGGTCAATATGTACATGGACACAGAGTTTGTATAAGTCTTCGACTTCTTATTTTGGTTTTTGTGTAGCGGCCATCTTGAAATTGCCGCTGATCCTTCCTGTCGTCAAAAAAGAAACAATTCGTCAAGGGGTACCATAGACTAAATTTTTACCTAATTTAATTTTAATATTCATTTTATTAGGATTATATCTATTAGGATTAATACATGGCTTAGTTGTTTGTTATTATTTTACTTGAAAAGTTTAAAACTGATATCACAGCTTACAATGTGCAAATCCTCGTTTGTTAAACGCAGCCACAGACACTCAAATATGTTTGGAACGGAAGTGATTTTAATAAGTGGCAGGTACTCCATACCTTTTCAAGTTACTATCTAGAATTAATTCACAAGTGAAAAATATTTGATGGGGTTAGTACTTAACACCCATGGATCTCAGTGTTATGTCACTCGATCTCTTGACGGGCCCTACTTGACAAAAATAATTTACACTTAAGTTTCAAAACTAAAAAATATATTTTATTTGCACTGAAACAAATTACCATAACAATCACACACAGTCATTAAACATGACACACCTAAGCTGTTCATATCACTTAAGTTAAAATACTGTTAATTATTAAATGTATTCAGAATTAGTTAATAATTTAGACATTTAAGGAAAACTTAGGTACTTTTCCGTTTCGCCGGCGCAAATCTCGCCAAGAAGACATTGTTGGCGACAACATACAATATACACATAAAAAATGTTAACAAATGTTAGTTCTAAGAATTTTTTATTTTGAAGTCATAAGCATTTTAATATGGTTTATAATTTTGTCAAAAGCCAATAAATAAAGACAATAAATGTGTCAAAAGACATTAATTTAAGAATTTACTATGCTATCGTGATTCAACATCCTGATTCGCCAGTTCGTATCACGTGACCCCAAGTGATCTCATCTCACGTAAACTACGCTACAAAAATATGATTCTCTCAGTAATTATCTACATTAATTTAAGTTAAATCTTAATTAAGTTTAAATGCAAGAATTATTTCAATTCGTACAAATAACTTACTGAGAAATTATGTAAAACCGTAATGCTTTATTTCGTTAGTGCATTCTCATTAGAATTGATAAATTTAACCCTTGATTTTGCCTTTTCTATATTTTCGCCTTCGGGTGAGCAGTGTAATTGCATCCTAATTGACTTAGTTACCACAAATGCTCTTAGGGCATAAAATTTAATTATCTTTGTAAATATTCTACACAAATGTATGCCAGTATTGAAAGAAACGATCAATCTGGTAAGAAATGGCTGCGACTTGTTTTGAAAATGATGTGTAAAAGGTTGCCAGTGAAAGATATTCCCTTTGGCATCAGTTCTACCATTATTGGCGACTATCGTTTGCGCCGGAAAAACGGAAAAGTACCAAAACTTATAAATAAAGAAATAATCTGAAGAACACTGAAAACAGATTTAGAAAACATGGCCAAGTGATGATGATAGATTACGAATACTTTTTATAGGAAGTAAAGCCAATGCAGGTAGGGCGCCATTGATTTTAATCAGATAAATTTATTAATTAATGAGATTAATCCCATTTTTGAAAAATATTTTCCCATTTCTTTAATTGGTGGGAAAAGTGTTAAAATCAAATTTTATAGATTTGAATTGCTTTTATAGATTTAAATGATGGAATATAAAAATTGCTTTTTAAATAAGTAAAATTTTTGAAAATATTTTAAGCAAGCTATATTAGTGCAATGCAAGAAAGTGTATTACTTCCATGTCCATCGAATCTCAAGCATAAATCTGATGATGCGTGAAAGTGTGATTCAGTTTCAGCAAATGAATTCTTAGTGGAAAGCTTTGAAAAGAACTATGTCCGATACAGTAATAATATAAACATCGCCTATTACTTCTATTTTCCAGTTTTATATGGCAAATTAGCTTGGTAAAACTGGATATTATGGTCTAGTTTGCACACTGCTTGGCACGTTTTTAAGAATTGCACATACTCGGTATCCATGTACACATCAATATATTTTCACTTTTAAAAAAAAATCCCAGAATTGCACAAAAATGGCATTGTGCACTCCCTTGACTTTAACTATGTACACATTGACCTATTTTCACTTAAAAAGTCAAAAAAATTGGCAAAAATTCAATTCTTCTTACTCTTGTAAAAAGTGCCAAACAAATGGCAAAGAAATAAGTGGGCCATTCTGCACTTTACCCCCAAAAATAGGCACGATTTTGCTTCATTTGGTGACTGGACTATAATCTCCAGTCTAGCCAACTAGCTTTAAGAATGGTAGTTATAAAATTCGCATAATAAGAGCTTACAATTTATACTGTTACTGTCAAAAATATTTGCAACATTTATCTAATTACAGCTCGTAGTTAAACTTCACGGTCTCACAAATTTATAATTTCACTGTGTTAAATCTGAAACCTATTACTTCCATATTCAATTGAAAAAATTAAAATGTTAGTAAAATAGCATAATTTGTAACAGCAATAAAGATTATCAGAACAGAATCGTATGAAAAATCACTACAGCTAAAAAAAATTACTTTAATAATACAGTCACGCAATACCTGAAAATAATAAACTGACAAAACGTAGCATAATAAGTTTCAATCTAATCAAATTCGAAGAATCTAAAAAAAAAAAAAAATTTATACAGTACTTTTATTCTTAAGCGTTCGAGGATAAACTTTTGAGAAATGCTCAACTATTATGTCAGAAAAAAACATACCAGTGAACCATAACGTAAAGAATATTCAGGAATATTTATAGACCATCAAAATGCAAAATTTTATTGTTCAATGTTAACTGTGACAGTATTTTAATTCAAATCCGTTCCAGCGAAGAAAACGCTGAATAACAAAAACAGCAAAAATTTTATATATACTGTGTTCAGAATATATTACTTCTCCAAATATGTTATTCTTGACACCCAAAAGATTGCAACATTAATATACTACTATTCTAGAATACCATCAACTGCGAGTAAAGAACAAAGTATTCATAATAAAAGTTTTGAAGTATAAATTTTTTTATGTGAAGAAGTTTAATATACAAAAATAGAAACCTATTAACTTACGGCTTTTCGTTATCAGGCATTATCGTGATCTCACTTGATCCAGTCACTTGAACCAATAAAATAATACTGTTAGATGCATAGTGCAGCAAAGAAAATTTAAATGCATACAAGCAAGACAAACTGAAACTGCTTTGCGTTCATAGAAAATTTATTCATTCATTATACTACTGAATGAAACTCCCACGCTTTCCCAAGTTATTATTCTTCAGGTTTATAATCAATGAAAATCATGCCAACAAAGTGAAAAGAAAAAATCAACACCGTTTAAGTAGAATACAATCTGTATACGCTTTCACAAAAAATAAAAACTCCCACCATACACGCTTCCTTCACATGAAAGAAATGACGTAGAATGAAAGCTTTTATAGACTTCTTCATGAAAGAAGTCTACGATCCCCGTTCAGATCTGAAAAAGTGAAAAGAATATCTGTAATGCACACATTACTCTTCATAATATCTTTCTTTCTAACTGTTTTAAAGTAAGATAGTGCGTTTACAAAATAGCGCACCAAACAAAACTTTATGATATCGAATTCTGAGTTTAAGAATCAGTGCCGCTAGGGAGAGAGCCTTAGTTTTGTTTCAAATACGAGTCACTACAAATTCCAATTTATATTATTTTTTCCCTTAGTATGCTTTGCTTTGTCTTAAATAGATAACATTCGTGTTGAGAGTAATGACAAGGCAATTAATATTTCATTATCTTAGACTTAGACTTAGACCGAGCTATTGCGAAGAGCAATGTTGCCGGTTCCAGAATTAAAGCCCAAGGGCACTTGACATAAATAAATCCGGACGTGGAGAAAATCTCAGATGAGAAAACGGATATAAGGAGAAGAAGAGAAGTACCAAAAGGAACAAGACAATCCAATCGGACAAGTTCGCAAAACGTGACGAGCGATCATAGCTTTCAAGGAGGACCCAAGGCAACGGAAATCAATGACAACAATACGAGAAGATACACTACAGCAATAGTTCCAACGACAAATTCAAATACAATGAAACAACATCAATCAGTAGTGCTAAATATTTCATTATCTCAGTTTTGGATTGCTTTTATTGCAACTACTTGGCATGATCCCTAACAAGGCACTGCGAAAGCTTCTGATAGGGTATGGCACCGGGGACTTATCTACAAACTTAACAAGTTGAACTCCCAAATAACTGCAGAAGACTTATTACTTTTTATCTCCAAAACCGAACCTTTGCAGTAAAAATTGGTAATACTGTTTCTACCACGAGAAACATCTGCACTAGAGTGCCCCCAGATTTCAGTACTTTCGCAGTATTTATATAACATTTACACTTACGATATTCCTAGACCCATAAATTACCATAGAGCAGATGACACCGCAGTTATGACCCGAGCTTCAACAGTTATAGCTGTTTGGTTCCTTCTTCAACATTACGTCAAACTTCTTGAAAACTGGCTCACTCTTTGGAGGACTGCAATTAATATTGAAAAATCAAAAAGCAATAATTTCTCGTAAACAACAAACAAAAATTACACCTCCAAGGACCTCTTTCGTTTCATCAAGAAATTACTTTGGTTGACAAAGTTAAATATCAAAGAGTCATTCTCGATAAAAAATTTTAAAAAAATACTTTTCAAAAGCATCTCAGGGGAACTGTGCAAAACAATTTACATCAAGCTTGCAACTATGCACCCACTTCCACAGGCGAGCGTAGTTTGCAAACATCAGGCACCCATGCGGCAGCGCTATCACGGGCTAACAATGTTGACGATTTTTGATCTGGTAATGTGTCCGAACATAGAAGAGGGAGAACATTAGGTTGAAGAAGTCGTAGGGATGAGCAATTATAGTTTCCGAAGTGGACATCACGTCGATCAGGAACAGCGTAGGAAGTGGAAAAAGCTGTCGATGAAATGTTTCAGGGCTACACCAGTGGCCCACTTCCGTCACCGTCGAGTTAGATAAGGCTAGAGCTACTAGAAATTCCTTTATAGGAGCCTTAGATAAGGCTGCGCGTTGAGTTACCAGGTAACTGCTAGGGGATCGGTCTTCGAGCAGTTTAGCTTCCTTGCTCAACACTGTTTTTCTAAATCTATTTTATGAAACTGGTATCTCATACTATGCATTCAGTCTAAAACAAAACTACAAACGGCTATATAATGTTTTACAAAGCTTATACGAATATGAAATATTTTCATTTTCTTTTGTTGTTATATATTTTCAAGATAAAAGTAGAGAAAAATGTGGTGCTACTAAAAGCAAATAATTTCTTTGAAAGAAAATTTGGTTTTAAAATTGAAGTGACAAAAATTTTTACTTTGATTTTTCTGTACTATCTTTGTATCTCTTTCGCTGATTCCCAAGCCGGAAGCCGGAGTTTTTTGTTTCATCCGCTACTTTAACAAAATTTTGCCAGTAGGAACACATATTATTTCTTATTCCGTAATTATTGTGTATTTTTATGTGTATATATCATATTAATGTACCAGGATTATAAAACATCAAACGAATAAAAGAGGCTACATAATATTTAAACTGACATTTAAATGCCTTATGTCAATCAGAAAAATTTTTTGAATGAAATAAATTAATAAATAGTCAATTTTTAAATTATTTGTTAATTACATATCGTATGTAATTCAGAATTACGGTTAATGTTTTTACGTACAGTTAATGTACACGTACAATTACAGTTAATGTCTACGTAATTATTCGACAGAATCTGTAGTTAAACTGATATAGTGTTTATTACATAGCTCTAAACACTACCAATATTAAAATTCCAAATAAGACCCGAAAAAAAAAATTTTTTTTAATTTGAAAGCTTTCAGATTTTATATTGCGGCCAAAGAAGCATTTTTTAACGTTTTGCGTGTTACCTTTACTTAATAAATATCATGTTCTTCGCACTTAAACCATAAAATTCGATTCAATAACAATATCACAAAATATTTAAAAGAGCATATATCTAGAATTTCCGATACATAATCTGGAGATAAAAATGTTTATTTTTCCCCGTTCAGTGTTGCCATTGCTCGTTTTGAAATCGTTGAGTTTGTTAATCAAAAATGCTTTAATTTCTGACAAAATATGAAATAGCTAATAAAACAAATTCCAAATTGGGGTTTTCAGATGCCCATATTCGGTGGAGGATCACGTTATTCAAAATTTAATTTCTCTAGGTACCGTTGTTTTTTATACATACATTTATGCAGGTTCTGCAATATTTAATTTCTTTAAATATAATACAGTTCGTTAATATTTGGTGGCAACAATTTGAAAAATGATTCAGTCTTTTAAAGTTTCGAAGCAAAATGCCAAAACGAAATTAATAGCCTTTCTGGGCTAATGTCGTTTGTGCTAAAAAGTTCTTTAAATAAACTTATACACAGTTTTTTGAAAATATTGTGGAATTCTGTGAAATGAGATACATTCACAGCCGACTGTATCATGGCCTTGAAGCGAAATCAGTTTCGGAAGGTCACGTGATCGAAATAGTCGATCTCTTTCTCTTTACCATAATCCCGGAGTTAAAGTTTACCGAAAATAATAGTTTGTCTTAAAAATAAATATAAATTAATAAACGTGAGTAGGTCGTATGATTTACATTAAATTTTTCATACTGCAATATTTTTAAAGGCGGTAAAAATGTATATCTTCAATAATTTTTAAAACAATTTGTACTTCGCTTACGTACTAAAAATATCATTGAGAATCATCACGTGCGAACTTTATTTATGTAATTTTGATAAAAATGAAATCCATTTATGTAATCTGAATCAAATTTATTGTCAAAATAATATAAAATCCACATAAGGGGGGAATTCAATAGATTTATGAATGTAAATTTTAGATTTTCATACTAGTAAAATAAATATTAAGGGAAGAATTAATTTGTAAAACTCCATGCCGCTACCATCGCATCAGCTATATAAATTTTTAGAAGACAAATACCCATAGTCATCTCTCTTCACTCCATTCACTAATAAAATCTGCATATCTCAATTTTATCAAAACAGGCAAATGAATTAAAATTCCTTAAATGCTAGAAAATTTGAATATAAAGATGAACTTACATGCATGCTGTACTATAAATAAATCTTTCAAGATAATATCAAAGAACTAAATGCTAATTGCATTCATAAAAAAGGACAGCCATCTATTTGTACTAGTTCCAATTTAAATCAAATTCCAATTAAAATTACTTTTTCCAAACCATCCAAGAGGTAAGTGATTAGGCTTGGTTTTTTTAAAGTGATTTCTCCAAATTACAGGTCTATTCCACTATTAAAAATAAATTCATAAAACTTGAAGCTGTACCATATACATACATGCTACATATTATACATAATCTATGCAAAAACAATGCATAAATCAAAATAAACAATTGAGTTATTAACTGAAATTAATTAAATTTTTTAACATTTTTATATGAACATTTTACATTGATTTTGTCATTTTTATATTTTGTATAATTATTTAACAAGTTATTAAACATATTTTCTAATCGAGTTTGTAAAGTTATTCCACAAGTGCAAGAATCTGTTAAATTAAAGTAACTGTATGGTGTACTAACTGTATGCAAGATAACTTATATAAAATATCCATTTGCTTTCCTGGCATAAGAAATGTATTTTCCATGCTTTTAAGAATTTCACCAAACAAGAAATATACAATTGAAGATTTTAATAGAGTAACTTCAGATGGAAAATTTTTAATTTCCCCCTTATCTAATTCTTTAAGAAAATTATTCTTTCAGAAAACCAAAAATATCATCTGCTGTATCTACTGAATGAATACTTTGCAACCAGTCCTGGTCAAATATTGCATTTTATCACCCTTAATTTTTTCATGGCATCATAACCTGAAACATAAACTAGCACTGCTAAAATATCAGAAGAAACATTTTCTATAAAAAAAAATCATTAATTAGTAAATTTGAATAATCATTAATATTCGCAAAAGTAAAGATAGAATCCTTATCATAATCTAGGTAAAAGGGACATTCATGTTTGATGATGAAATTATAATATTGTTTTTAAAACGAAACTTCTTCTCATTTTCTAATAAATATAGGTCATTTATTTGATAATCTGAACCTGACATTTGCCGATACATTTCAAAACGTGATTCAGGAGCATTGAAATTTTCCTAACAATATGTATTCAGCTTCATACTTTTGAAACAAACATTGAATCAATTGAATGCATCTGTAGTTGTTATTAATGCCTGAAATGTTTGTGGTGATAAAGTTCTTTTATTGGGACAGAATGTCAAATATGCTATTAGAAAGAAATAATCAAAACAAGGAATTCCTAATGTACTATTCCAAACAAACATTCAAAACAACACTACGCGAAACGTCCAAACTAATGTATTCGATGTTATGTTAAAACGAAATACTTGAATAGGATTGAGAACAGCTACAAATTTTCCCAAATAAATCTAAAAATTAAAAAATTATAAAACGAAGTATAGATAAAAATATTATTTACCTTAGCATAAGTGATTTAAAA